ATTGACAGAGCCAAATCTGGCCTGAGGGTATTTATCAAAATCAAATTAAAATAAAAGAATAAAAACAAAATCTGGTATGGAGTTAATTTTCACTAATATACATATACTATTGCCTTTGTTCTATAGATTCCTGTGGAATGAATTCAATTTGTGCTGGCTCCATCAAGGCCTGTGGATGCTCAGGAGTGTTGGAAGTGGAGGTATAATCCCACCTTAATGGAGAACTCCATTCCTCTACATTAGCAAAAGATGGAGCTCCCTTTGGAATGCTAAGACTGTGATTAATAAATCCTGCTATTCTAACAGTTCTGTTCCAAAGACTTCCATCACTTGGACTTGGACTTGGACTTGGACTTGGACTTGCATTGCCTTTGTCTGCTTCTTGGTGCTGAAACTTCCTCCTCAAGATAACAAGAGATAGGAGCAAACAAAGGGTGGAAGTAACGCTGGTTATTACAAAGAGGCCGGAGAAATTCTTGAGGCTCAAGCTTCCTGGTGTGTCTGAACTTGCATTGTTTGAACACTCCCCCTCGGGTGTGGTCAGCCAATGTGTTTGAAGTTTCTTCAGTTCTCCATTCTCCAATAGCTCTAGAATGGCCTTAGTGAAATCCCTGGCTATTGGAGAGCCTTGCTGGAATGCCTGCATTGAATGGTGAACATGAAAACAATTTGATTAGTTTCGCAAATCGAATTCATTCGAATACCAAGAAGAACTCTTTTATGCATATGTAGTCACATTACTACTCACAAAGCTGAATCCTCCAAATCTGTGGTTTAGTGCAGTGGAAGTATACCCCTTGCAGTTCTTGTTGATGAACACTTCCGCAAATGGGAGTTCAAGAAAGGCAGCAGATATACGTTTGCTCGTGAAGTCGCTCACATTGTATTGGGGGCCTACTTCGATGATGTTGCTATTTTTGAATCCAAGAACAACCTCCAGGTAGTTCGGGATAAAAGAATCTGCATCAGAACCAATTTTTGCGTCGGTTCTCTTCAGCATTTCAATGTCTGTTACATTCGGGTCCAGTCG